TACAATATCCTATGAGACCTATGAATTTCCTTAGATCCCTTTTAGTTTTGGGCAGAGGAATGGTTATGATTCCTTCCATTCTTTCTGGGGTGATTCTCTTTTCATTTTCACTTATTAAATGTCCTAAATATTTCACCTCTCATTTCACATATTGTAGTTTAGTTTTAGATACTCTTAATCCATTGTCACCCAAAAATTTTAGTAAGTTATCAGTGACCTGTTTCACCTTGTCTTTCTTTTCCTCTGACACCAAAAGGTCATCCACATATTGCATTAAAGTGGTTCCTGGAACTACCTTAAATGTTTCTAATAACTGTTCCAATATTTGTCCAAATAAATTTGGAGATTCAGTAAATCCCTGAGGTAAAACAGTCCACTGATATTGTTTTCTCCCACTATATGGATTTTCCCATTCAAATGCAAATAGGTTTCTAGAGTCTTCGTATAAAGGACAGGTCCAGAAAGCATCTTTTAGGTCCACTACACTAAACCAAGAATGGTTTGGGGGAATTCTTCCCAATAAAGTATATGGATTGGGCACCACAGGGTGCCTTGTTACCACAATGTTATTGAGAAGTCTGAAATCACAGACCAGTCTCCAATTGCCATCTGGTTTCTTCACAGGGAGAATTGGGGTATTAAAGGGTGACATGACTGGTTCCAATAATCCATCCTTCAATAGATTGTCAATAACTGGTTGTAAGCCTTTCCTCCCTTCCAAGGAGATATTGTATTGTTTTTGTCTCACCCTTCCTTTAATTCTATTTTGAGGGGGGTTATTTGCAATCCTCCCCTGTTTCCTTTATTGACCCACACTACAGGATTTATGTCTTTAACATCTTCGTCAGCTAGGACAAAGAGTCCTGAATGATCTCTAAATCTAATTGTTATTCCCATTTGACTTATGACATCCCTCCCCAATAAATTTATCCCTAGTTCTGGAACATATAAAAGTTCTATTAACATCTCCTTTCCCCATGGTCCTTTAATTTTTGTTTCATTAGTTTTCTGGACCTCAAAGTCTTCCCCTTTTACCCCAGAAATCCTAATTATTTCATTCTTTAATCTTAATCTTAAACCTTTTGGTAACTCACTAATTGATGTTTTAGATGCTCCAGTGTCCACTAAAAACACCATTTCAGTTTGGTATGGTCCTATGAATAAATTTATCCAAGGCCTCTTTGTAGGATCTCTCAATCAAGTGCCTCGGACACCCCTAAACCTCTTCTTCTTCCATCAACCTTCATCATTGGACAGTCTTTTCTAAAATGTCCTACCTGGCCACACACAAAACACCTTTGGGGTGTTGTGCGGGGTAGAGTTTCCTGGGGTCGCTTATTGAATGGTAGGCGCCCAGGTGTTTTTGATCCCTTCTACCACTGTCCCCTATCCAGAGATTTTTCCTGCCTAACAACCTCCCTCATACTTGACACCATAATCTTACCTTGCCTCTCATCTCTCTCTACGTCCCTTTGGACATAGATTTTCTGTGCCTTCTTCAAAAGATCATTCATGGGCTTATCTGACCACCCATCCAATTTTTGTAATTTTCTGCTGATGTCTGGCCAACTCCGGGTAACAAAATTTAACTTCAATAGGTCGGGGTATCAGGATCTAAGCCAGAATATTTCCTCATTGTATCTTTTAATCTTTCCAAATAGTCTGAGTGTGTGTCTTCCTTTCTTTGACTGATCTCAAATACCTTAGAGGCATTCTGAGATCTAGTACTGCTTCCCTAATCCCTTTTATAATCATGTTCCTCAGGTTTTCCATGTCTGCTCTATCTGCCGCTACATTATTATTCCAATTTGGTCTTACAATAGGGAATTTTTGTTCCCCTATTGCATTGTTGGCATTGTCTCTGTTATAGATTCTGATAGCCGCAGTTCTGATTAGATCTCTTTCTTCTGGGTTGAATAATGCGGTCATGATAGAATTTAGTTCATCCCAAGTGTAAATATTTGGTCCCAATAGGTGGTCTAGTTGTTCCGATACCCCATGGGATCCTCTATTAATTTCTTCCTTTTTAAATGTTCTTACTTCACTACTCCTTAGGGAGTCTTGTACATATCCCACTATGGGAACATTGCCTGCCCCTAAGCTACTTGCTACCTCTCTTAGAGGGAATAATTTATTTTCTTCTTCTTCCTGCTCTACTCCTTTTAAGGTCTCTCTTCATTGTTGCCTATGATTGCATTCAGTTTCGATTTCACCATCTACCAGAGGCAAATTAACTAGCTCTTGTCTTCATTGTTCAAGTTCTTTCCTCAATCTCCCATATTGATTAACAGGGGGTATATTCATTTGAGGATTGTAGGAGGGTGGTAAGTTATATTTATTTTTCTCTCTTTCCCTCTCTTCCTCCTCAATTAATGAACTTTTATTTTCTGTTTGGCTTTTGTCAGTACTGAGGAATAAGTGATTTTTCTCTGGAGGCCATTTCTCTGGTGTCCAGATTACAGCATATTCCATTTCTCTAGGGCCCTTTCCCTTTTTAGCATGTGATCCTAGAGCTAGCCTGGTTGGAAAAATGGAAGCTGTTTATCTGGTGGGAGAAGGGAATGAAGACTGAAAGTTTACCTATAGGACCCAAGCCCCCCCTTAACTCGACGGACGTTACAGGATACTTTAACCCACCCAATGAGCTAGTGCACATGACCACTTTGTATCAACCAGGCGAGCCACTCATCCCCAGTGAATACTGGGACCTAGCGGAGGCGTTTAGTGAGAAGGAATGTGACACCTTGCCTCCCCACTGACCCAATGATTGCTCTATCAAACTGTTACTGGGAGCCAAACTCCCACGACCAACAATGTATGCTATGTCCCCCCTTGAAATGGAGGAGATGTAGCGCTATGTAGACAAAAACTTAGCAAGGGGATTTATCGAATGGGCCAAGTCTGCTGTGGGAGCCCCGGTGTTATTTAAAGAAAAAAAAGACGGGCCGCTTCATCTCTGCGTAGATTATAAAGGTCTGAACGCGGTGAGCATGGAAAACAAATACCCCCTCCCCCTCCTGAAGGACTTACTGACCCACCTGGCTAAGGGGAGGGTCTTCACTAAGTTGGACTTGAGAGAGGCTTATTACTGGGTGAGGATAAAGGAGGGAGATGAGTGGAAGACTGCTTTTAACTGTCCCATGGGGAGCTACCAATTTAAAGTCATGCCTTTTGGTCTGCAAGGGGCTCCAGCTGTCTTCATGCAGCTGATTAATCAGGTACTACATGACCATTTATACAAAGGGGTTTTGGTGTACCTTGATGACATCCTGATATACAGCACGAATATGGCTGACAACGTAAAACTAGTGAGAAAAGTGCTAAAGAAACTGTTGAATGCCAAACTTTATGTTAAACTATCAAAGTGTGAGTTTCACCAGACCCAACTGGATTATCTTGGCTACAGAATTTCCAGTGAGGGCATTGAAATGGACCCAACCAAAGTGAAAGCCGTAATTGAATGGCAATCCCCAAAGATTCGCAAACAGCTTCTTTCTGGGATTCGCCAACTTCTACCGTCAATTTATCCCCTCCTTCGCTGAAATTGCCCTGCCCCTTACGGAATTACTAAAAACAGGCAAAGGGGGAGGAAAGCCGCATCCGGGTCAATCACTAGCATGGACTATGAACTGTCAAACCGCTTTTGAAAATTTAAAAAGACCATTTACGCTCGAACTGGTCTTAAAACATCCTTGCCCAGGGAAGTCCTTTGTGATTCAAGCTGATGCCAGCGATGTGGCCGTTGGAGCTGTGCTACTGCAAAAGAACCAGAGTGGGCGCCTACAACCCTGCACCTACACCTCGAAAAAATTCACTGACTGCGAGAGGAGGTGGGCTGTGTGGGAAAAGGAGGTTTCGCAATCCACTGGGCTCTATTAAACTGGTGACCCTATCTAGAGGGGAGTAAGGTACCTTTCGAGGTATGGACTGGTCACAAAAACCTAGACGCACTCAAGACTCCCTGCAAATTGTCTCCGAAACAAGTACGATGGGCACAGTACTTTAACTGTTTTAACTTCACCATAAAGTACATACCGGGAGGAAAAAACGTCTTAGCTGATGCTCTATCCAGATTGCCCCAGTACAAAAGCCAGCGTGAAGAGGTTAATAAGGCAATTATCTCCAATCCACAAACCACTTCTCAGCTTACACTGCGCAGAGTCCCACCTCCATGAGCCCCAATGGGGCAAAGAAAATAAAACAAGAGCTCCTCACCGACCACTGGTTCAAGGACAATCAAACCTCCCTAACATGCAGGGACGGTTTGGCTTACAAAGGTGGAAAACTATATTCTTGATTCTAGAATTTTTAGGGGGAAATTGAAGTACTTAGTGCAATGGAAGGGATATTTGTTGTCCGAGGCCACCTGGCTGAAGTCTAGTGATGTAAAAGCTGACAGACTCATTAACAGATTCTATAAGAAACACCCTAATAAACCAAGAGGCAACCCCTAACCTGTAATTTTGTTTACATTACAGGATTTGTCCTTTTTGTAAGGGGGGCTGGATGTCAATGCTGCTAACATCGGATGTTCTTGCTTTGACAGATGGAAATGTAGCCATCTTTTCCCTTTCGCTTTTAGAGTTAGTTGATGCTGGGAGGGGAGATTTGGATGAGAGTCCAGTTAGTTATAACAATAATAACTCAGCTGTGGGAATCAAGGTTATTGCGCCCAGAGCTGATGAAGATTTGGCAGGCTGGAGAGCTGGGGAGAAAGCCCACGCTACAAGCTAACTGGGGAATGTGATTTATGACTGTTAATTAGAGGAGGGAATTGTGTTTGCTACTTAGTGCCCAGGGGAGGGGAATTCAGTTTTTGGCTTTAACTATGTAGTGCCAATATTTTGTTTCTCAAATAAAAGATTCTTTAAGGTAAACAATGCCTCGAAATTCTTTTAAAGAGTTTCATCTGTCGAAACCATGAGAGCCACATTCCTAGTTAAGCAGGTAAGCAACATAACCTCCCCTTACATAAATATATGAGAGCTTAATTCAAAAATATATGTTTTTATTTGCACTTATGTAATAGAGCCTTGAAATAGTACATTTTTTAATTAGAAGAATCATCTGCATCTTAGAGGCTGACAAAAATACAAATAAAAGGGTAAGTTGAAAATACTACAATACATCATATCAAAGTGTAATATATACTACAGTCACCATTCCTGGGCACAAGTTAAAGAAGGATATGCCACGTGTGGAAATACAGAAGCAAAACAAAAAGATTAAGATCCATATCTCATTGAATACAATATATGGTTCCTCATTATGTTTCCTGGTCCATTCTGTGAATCCTTTCTTGGCATTTATACATAGACTGGAGACAAGCAGGTAACAACAGTACATCAGAGCCAGAAAAGTGTACCTCCTGATCTCTGGGGAAGATTGTCAAAGTCTTAAATAGTTTCATCCATCTAATTTCTGCTGCCCACAATCTGCAAGAGGAAGGTGAAGATATAAACAATGTCTGTGTAGATCTTGAGGGCTCCATAGACGTATTCCTCGGGGCTGATGGTGTGCTTCCGGTTGCCCAAGACCAGTTGGGTATCATAGGCAAGAAACTGTAAAAAGCCACAAGGTAGCAGTTAGTTACAAGTGGCAAGAAATTATTCAACAATAAAAAACATTCTTCTTGCCAAGAACTGTGTTACGACAGAAGGTAACACATCCCAATATCTGTAGGTCACGAAACAGAAAGGATGCAAGATGGCATGAACAGATTCCTAAATCTACCCAACAGTTTTCAAAAGTTCTTCCCTCTCTCCATATTTACTTCCATTCGATTTTAAAGAAGAACCATTTCCCTTCTGCCCTTCCCACCCTTCCAAATTTCAAATGCATTTTACAAAATGCTCAAAAACAAATTTAAAAAAACTTTCCAGTTCATCAAAGAATGAAATTAATTGAAACAGAAGAAGTATGAATCCCTTTAAATGCAACAGGAAAGTTATAGCTGGATAAAAATTATTTTCAAAAGACACTTGGGACTAGTATAATTCTGAAGCCAGAAATAGAATCATGTAAAAATAAACCCAGAATTTACTAATCCGGCACTCTGGAATACTGGACTTCCTTAGATTTAATCTATACAGCAAAGAGTAGATGCAGCAAAGAGTAATAAAGGAAAAAATATTCCAGTTCCATTTGTAATCATGACATATTGATTCATTCCATAGCTCAAGTCCCTGACTCCTTTTCTAGATATTATTTAGCGCCCCCCCAAATATACGTAAGCACACAGTCTTTATATAGATAATCTATAAACTTTATAAAAGCAATCTAGTTTATCTATTGCACCCATGGACCCAAGTGAAAATATACCTTCAAGAGAGGATGGCATTATGGTTTTAATTATAATTCTAGTTTTGCACATATTTTTTCTTAATTTAGACTTGTGTGATAGAGGATGGGTAACTAAGTCTACAGAACTTCCTACTAACCAGGGTGAAGGCGATTGCACCAATAGATGCATACAGCATATGGAGCCAAGGAACCTGCAAGAAGAAGAAAGAAATGAATGTGGTCTACATGTATTTAGTGGTTTGAATTTAATTAATTCTAATAACAGATTTCCCAGCCTAAAGCACAAATAATAGAAGGAAACCATTATCAACTCATCATTCATTTTAAGAGACAAAGGTTTAAGGCTATTAATTACTCAACAATAGATCCTGTCTACACATTCTCTCTCAAGAATGCTCTCTAAGAGCAGTAGAGAGGAAGACTGTGCTGTTTTGATCTCCATACTGTGGGGGATCATAGTGGTTAGATTGGGCTGTTGAAAACGGGAGGAGATGAACCTGGAAACTGAACCCCAGTTCAGAAACAACATGTTAACCACTATAGTATGTTGATTCTATGACAGGTTCTAGGTCAGGAATACCCTTCAAAATGCCGTAAAATTATTCAGAGTCATACATCTAAAAGGACCATTGACCCCAAGCCCACTAAATTTCTACCAATAATTGCTTACATATTTGAAGGACAGGACTATGGCTGTGATAATTCCAGTCACCATGACAACAATGCCCAGCACACAGAACAAACCAGTGCAGGATGTGAAATCCACCTGCCAATGAAAACAAGACATGGTTTGGGAGAAGTTGACACATAGCAGGTCACCTTTTGTGCACAGAGTATTAGTGTCCCTTGTAGGAAACTCCTTAGCTTCACCACCCTCAGCATATGCAGAGACACATTAACACCATACTGAAATGGTATACAAAATGCAAATTGTGTAGGAGGAAGATTTCTGCGTTTTTGTTCTTATAGGTATTATGCAACCAATAATTTTCAAAGAAACATCGAAACTATTTAAGAACCTTGGAAGGAATGGGAATTATTTTTTAAAAATACACAATACAGTAAATACTTCATACACATTTTACTATGCATTCTAAATATTATTTCAAACTGAGAAGATCATGATTGATTTGAACTTTGAGAAGATTTATTGGACCGTGTTCTCATTATTTCTACATTGCTGTGACTGACCATATGCCCTTCCTAATAGTGAAGGAAATATTCATTGATAATTATCTTTAATATATATTGCGAATTACAATACAGCTGCCTTTTTGGCATAGTCATTCTATGAAGTGTAAGAAATCCTTGAATCTGAGCCATTTTGAGCTTTCACCTCTGGCAGAAGGCTTCTGGCTTTGAATTAGCCAAATTTTAAGGTCCAAATGGCCATTTTGAGCCTGAAACAAAACAGCCCATCAAAAGTACAGATTCTCAGCCTTCACTAATCAAAAAGAAGCAAGAAATCTTTGTTGTCACAGTGGAAGAATCCAATCCATCTATCTTCAAACCATACTGATGTTGCATCAAAGAAAGACACTTCTCACCTTTGTCTGGAAACAGAAGATGGTAACAATTATGGCCACAATCGCTGTAATGATCATAGTCATTAGAACAGCCTTTGTAGAGTACGTGCTGCAAAGAAAAAGTTAAACAAAATAATTTTATCATATGATCATTTCAGGGGTACTGTTTTCTTAGTTAGTTAGATATGGAAGGAACTATATAGTAATAAAATGGCACTTTAGACAAAAGTGGTTTGTTCTAGTAGTTCATATACAGTTTGGAGTACCTCAAATTCTTTCACTTATATCAGAATTCCTGATTAAATATGCATGGTGAAACATGAAATACGCAATTCAATTTGTGAATAGAGCCTTCTTTGCTAGAAGTTCTTAATGATCTCTTGCTTGGATTACTGCAATACACTATGTGGGGCTGCCCTTGAAGACCACTTGAAAGCTACACAAATCCAGAATGCAGCAGTACAGTAGGTTCACAAAATACCAATTCTCTGTGAACTGCAATGCTGGTTGTCATCTACAAAATTTCACACAGAATCAAGATTTAAGGATAAGGATCTATTTCTGATTGCCTCCACCTAATAATATTAGATGGGATTGTCACGGTCTAGGTCCCATTTGTTAAACAGGATCATCTGATAGGACCCAGGAAGTATGCCTTCTCTGTCACAGTACCTGTCCTGCCTAACAGTATTGCCTCTGAGATCTGGATGGTCCAATCCTGCTGGTGATCAGAAAGCCTCTGAAGACCTGGCTCTTCCTTCACCCATTGGCCCAGAATGTTGCATAAATTGTGAAATGAATTTTGACCTCAATGCTACAGATGTACACATGGTCCCCCCCCCCATTTTCTTTTTCCTTCCTTGATTGTAATTATTTAGTCCTTTGTTAGTTTTAACATTTCTAGCCAGCTTTGAGTCATCAGGGAGTGGAAGGCTAAATATATAAATACATCCCTATTTTTGTGCCACAGAATCTGTAGATAATTGTTTCTCCGAATCTGACTTCAGTATAATACCCTGAGCTTCAACAATTATCAAGGCACTTCTCCACGAAGTGTTTCCATCACTCCTGGATCAATTCCACACTTCTGTGATCTTACACATTACCTCTTCAGCAGCCTAGCAGAATTTACTTCTGTGTAGCTGCTATGCAAGCAGAACAGCTCTGCAGGCAGTTTTCAGCTGAAAATGCTATAACTCTCTCGGATGGAGGGAGCTCTTGCCTTCATCCCAGACTCTCCTGCTTTAATCACCCTCATTAGTCCTTTAAAGGGGATGGGGCAAATCCCTTCAGCACTACCAGGAAAGGGAACAAGATGGCATTAACAAGATTTAGTCAATTTCAGTGGAAGACTTGAACCTGCAAACACCAGGCTGGTCTCCTGCTTATTTCCTTTCTTCCCTAAAGAGAAGAAAGTAGCTTCCTTTGGAGCTTCAAGATCTGCAGCATCTCAGATCAGGAGAGTTGATTTTTCTCCACTTGTTTTCAAGGCTGGCAGATCTGAAGACAGACCCGTATGATCTTCAAGTGTTTTGGATAAACATTAATAAAGTTGTTTTCTAATAACTGAATTGCTAAGAAAGTGTTGAATAAAATTATAACAAATAAGTTAGTTACATGGGGACCCCAGAAGTGAGGTTTGCTTTCTTCATAGAAGTATTGGGTAGCCTTCCATGAAGTACACATTCAAAATACTTAGACAGAAATCAAGCTTAATTGAGCAGACAGAAGCAGAACAAACATAGATTACTGTTGTACTTTACCTAGCAATAGTGCCTGTCATGAATCCCATCGCTAGTGTCTAAGGGAGAAGAAGAAAAAGATGATGACTAGCATACCCCATGCACATATACACCAATAATCTTGGCTTCCACTATCTAGTCCAGGGGTAGGCAACCTTGGCTCTTTTATGACTCATGGACTTCAACATCCAGAATTCTTGAGCCAGCTTGGCTGGCTCAGGAATTCTGGGTGTTGAAGTTCACGAGTCATAAAAGAGCCAAGGTTGCCTACCCCTGATCTAGTCTGTTTGATTTATAAACATCAGATTTCAAATGGCAGGCTCAATGTCTCCTTTTGTCTATATGTTCAGGAAAACTTCTCTTTATCCAAGATGCTACTGGATGTCTATGCCGACTACTATCCTGAAGCAACTCTTGATTGATGGCTACTATTTTTTATTTAGTGTGTATTTCAAATTATGGTTTTTTGTTTGTTTTTATGGTAACTTTGTGTTATCCTTGAATTTTATTACATTAGCAATCTCTGATTCTCTTTTGCCTCAAAGCAACATTTCTATGACCTTTTATTCCCTAGTACTTAGTTTTACTGCTGCCCAGTTCAGGATCAAAAGCACATCACCCCATACATCCATCTCATTCTACTTTCAAGCCATGACTAGATCTGTGCCCTAATACTGTATTCCTTGATTTTAACTTTGAACCTCTCAGTTTGGCCTTATTTGCATTTTTGAAAGGATAGACGGGAAACAGAGAAGCACACTACAATATTTCAAAGAGCGGCAAAACAATTACTTAGTAATGAAACATTTTTAAAATACAACTGTTGTGTCCCGGGACTTGCAGCAAGCAAGCCCGGGCGGTCGCCATGGCAACGGGCTGCGGAAGCTGCCCGGGGCCAGACAAACTGGCAACAGCTTGTGCGCATGCGCAGGAAAGCGCGCGCTCAGTAACGAGTTTACCCGGACCGTTTGTGTTGCTCTCAGAGCCGTTTGTAAGCAGAGAAGAGAAGCAGGAGGCCTGTGAGTCTCCGTTTACTGCAATGAACAATTAAGCCATTAAAGAAGCTTTTGGTTCACACTATGCCTGTTGAACTGTCATTTGAATCCAAGGATTTAACAACAACCATCATGTAATTGAGCAGTGGTGGCGCAGTGGTTAGAATGCAGTACTGCAGGCTAATTCTGCTGACTGCCAGCCGCCAGCAGTTCGGCAGTTCGATCCTCACTAGCTGAAGGTTGACTCAGCCTTCCATCCTTCCCAGGTCAATAAAATGAGGACCCTGATTGTTGGGGGCAATAAGCTGACTCTGTAAACTGCTTAGAGAGGCTGTAAAGCACTGTGAAGTGGTATATAAGTCTAAGTGCTATTGCTATGGTTAATTCATGTAATTTCAGCCAAAATTCACAACAAAAGCATTCACTTACAAAGATAGACAGAAGGATGAGGTTCCATGGAAAACGTCTCCTGCAAGAAATCAGCAAAAGTAGATCAGTTCACCAATAGGGTTATTTCAAGGAAACACAAGGTGTATGTTATGATTTCCGCTCTTAGATGTCCATCTATATCAAAATGTATTGATCAATGAACATAAATCAAGTGAAGTGAATTGACTCCCACTCAGATCAAAATGCCAATATATCTAGCATAAACTCACCGTGGGCCCTCACAACACACCAGCACCAGGTAAGTGACCAGGAATACAGCACTGGGAAAATAAAACAAGCATTATATTATTTTCAATACATCCTGGTCAAGAGCTTGGCACTCTATTGCAAAAACACAAAGGCTATAATATGACAAAGCCCAGACCAGGGACAATCATTCTGCAAGTCTTCTACATTGTGGTATTAACACTTTATCAGGGGACCTGAGACCACTTTGCCTTGCATGTTCAACATCAAGAAGTGCTCTGTGCTTTTCTTTGCATCCTGCATGTCTCAGCAGAGTTAGGCCTCCCTGCAAATATTTTTTTATGTTATCTTTATCCCATCACTTGTGGGTGACTGGCTACAGCACAGAGTCAAGTGAATGGCTGCAGGAATGGGTATGTTTAGACTGTCAAAGAGAAGGACTAGGGGGTGACATGATAGCAGTCTTCCAATATTTAAGAAGAAGACTACCTATTCTCCAAAGCACCTGAGGGCAGGACAGGAAGTAATGGATGGAAACTTATCAAAGGGAGATCCAACTTTGAACTAAGGAGAAATTTGACAGTGAGAACAATCAGTGGAAGGGCTTGCCCCCAGAAATTGTGGGTTGGAGGTTCTTAAGAAGAGATTCTGCTATAAAGTTAAGAAGCATAAAACGAATCCTCTAAGCATATAGGAGAAAAAAAGGGGTACTTACTAAGATGCATAATACACAGCAATATTACGCCTCACAAAACCTGACACAGGTTCACTGTGGAGATTGAAAAATCACATAGAAAAAAAGTTACTTGTGGTCACATTAGATATGATTTTAACAAACAATATTTTGTTTCCCTCTCCATTCAGACACCAAGGTATTCTAAGAATATCTGGCTGTTACTTCATTTTCCAATCTCTTTCTCCCAGGTTAAAAAAAAACAACCTAAAGGCAAACATAATAGTTTCCTATGTATCATAAAAAGTACAGAAACAAGGGACTTCTGGTTCATGTTGTAGCGATGTGGCCGAGGGATTGCAGGGTTCCGCACCCCATGGCTGGTTTCATCCTGCCAGGGGACCCTAAATGGGTCTAAAGTTGCCCTGGAGAGGCGATGAAGAAGGAGGGGACTATTTGATCCGGGGAAAGCCCTCCAAACCGGCAGGAGAAAGGCTAGCTGCACTTCCATGACTAGCCCAAGCTACCAACAATTGAAGCTAAAAAGTACCAACTAGAACAGATTCTGAACGTGTTTGGAACTGGGTGAGAATATCGATCTTTTCTCTTCTTACAACTGGATTGCCTGGAAAAGACCCCCAAGAAGCAAAAAAAACCCTCCAAAAATGAGAAGGAAGGGGATTGCAGCCCCATCCTTCCATAGATGGAAGCGATGTTTTAATTTTTATGGGGGACAGAAATACATTGAAGTGGAACTAATATAAAGCTATAGTTTGGACAAGCCTGAAAACTGAGGAAATTGTTAAGATTTTCTCTTTAAAAGAGTATTGGGATGAAATTACAAGAAAATAATTTTCTGTTTTAAAAGTCGGAAAATGAATATTTAACAACATCTAGTGGTGGATCAGAGTATAGCATTACAATTGCCTCGACTGAGAAACTGGCAAGACACCCAGAAACAGATAACAACCTGTTCCTTTGATGCCCAATGACTCTTAGTTTAATAGAGAACAGCTGGGAACAGAAGAAAATACACTGGGTTATCTACCACAGAGTGAGAACTACAATTGTTATAAAAACTGCTGATCTTCCTAGATTATTAACATCCACTGAGCTTTGGTTTTTAAGCTTAAGAACTATTTGAGGAGAAACAAAAATCTTGACTTTGGGCTACTTTTGTAGGAGGAAGGCTCTTGGACTATTCTTAGGTGGTTGAACATTTTGGACTGCAAATTTTGGCTGATTGATAATTGTTAGACCCCTGAGCAGAATAACTGTTATAAAACATTGCTTTTAGTGGTGGATCAATAACTGAGAACACATTGGATTATAAAGGCCATACATAAAAACCATAAGAACTATACAAGACTTTGCTGTATGGACCTTAAGACTGGTTGTATTAGATAAGGCTAATACTTGGGGATTATGGTATTTTTGATAGAATATCTGGAGGAGGGAGATAAAATGGATGCTGCATATCTAACCAAAAGTGGTAGGAAACCACACCTAATATTTTCATCTGAAGCCCCCAGCCCAGTATATCAGGGATCTGAAGGAGTGATACCTCAAGACAAGGTAAACACCTTCCAGGAGGAAATGCATGCTGTGCTGCAATTAATTCAAAAGACAATTCTTTCACATAAAGAAGACACAAGAAGAAACCATGATGAGATTAAAAACAATTTAAACAACATAAATGAGCAAATTTTTAATTTAAGATTACAACTAAAAAACTCTCAGAAAATGAGGACAAATAATGAACAAACAAGTCAGAAAACAGAACAAAAACCAGAGGAAAGTGAAAAATTACAGAAACAAACTGCCAATAGTCAAAATTCAGTCAGAAGCCACATTTAATCACAGAATATATTTTAGTAAGTGCTGAAAGCAGACATAACTGGCCAGGTGTACCATAAGCAGGTATGCAAGTTATGCAATGCACAAAGATGCCATGACATGGGGAGGGGGTGCCAAATGATGAGAGTGGTAGCAGAAGAAGCCCGTCCAGTTACTATTTTGTGGGTCTGGATGTATCCTATAGAATAAAAAGGAAAACAAAGCACTGGGAAGCCACAGCTGCCACCTGACATAACTTGATCCTCTGGAGCTGAAAAACCTTTTGCACAAACATCCGTGGTGCTCCTGCAACTATCCAATTGTCTCCTCCATACACATAAATGCACATGTATCCAGTGTTTCCCTAAATATGTCTCCATTCAATCCTGGATTGTAGTACGACATGGAAGCATATTGGGCAGACTTTCACACACAGAGAAAAGCAGATCTGGTCTCAAAATACTTACACAAAGGTGAAGATTGCAATGATGCCTACTGTCACAAGCAACTGCACGGAGATAATGCTATAAACCTGGGAATCAAAAGATAAGGTACATCTATGTAAGACTGGATTGCTTCAAATAGTCAAAGAACCCTTCAATTATACCACTATAATTGAAAGACCTCCTTAGAATTATGTGCAATATTATACTAACAGCATAGAAAAAGAGAATTTGGCTTGCTGCAACCTCTACTTTTTATTATACTAACAGACATTATTGGATACAAATGTTTTGGCTGCAAATGATATCTTTGTCTTATCCTTGTCTCTTATCCTGGAACATGACCTGGTGTCCTTTGGAATTCAGCTCCTATCATTCCTATGACAACAACATGGGACTGTATGAGTTGTGGGTCTGAATACATGGAGAACAGCAGACTGACTACCCTGTCTAAAAGGGATGCAAATCTAGATGGCTAACAACCAATCATGCTCACCCAAACGAAAAGCTAGATTGGCTAACAACCAATCATGCTCACCCAAACAAATAGCTTTTTGTCTCCCATGATATTTTAGAGGGGATTGTTCAGCTGCTGTTTCTTGAAATTCTGGGTGTTGGAACAAGCATTTGGGAAAGCCAGCTATCCGAAACCAAAAGAAAAAAACCCCAAAATTTAAACTGGTACAATAGTATTTATTAATAACCCTGTTTCACTTCCTAGTAGGAATTCCCAAACCTTTCAAGTACAGATCCCTCCTGTTGAACAGAGTTTTTTCATCTTCCAGTGCAATTAGAGATTTCTTGGTCTTGTATCTATTTGAAATGTTGATCTTCCCTGGACAAGTCTGTATATTGAACCCAGACTTTTTCAAAAGCAGCATTCAAGAAAGTAATTTTCAACAAGATCAGTTCGTGACAGGTGCCTTCAGCTTACCTTGCGGATAAAAGTGTGCCTGACTTTCTTATCATCCCAATCAGCCACATGGAAATCACTGTCGCCTCCTGAATCAGTGACATACAAAGACAAGGTTTCATGACTTTGTGTATTTATGCCATTCTTCAAACAAACAGGAAGAATAGGCCAGCAAGCTCTTGTCTCCAAAAGTGATGGGGCATTTTCAAAACTGGCACACTATATACACAGAGAGATAGATACATATACAAAACCATTCCTACAAAAGGCTCATCATAATTCAAAGGATACAGCTTCACTGCCTACAGCAACTCTTTGACGTCCATGACAGATTCATTTGTCTCATGCTTCTTTTGAATTAGTTACAAAAGATTAGTTAGCACCAAAGTTCTTGCTTGCAGCTGCAGAATCTTCTTCCTTGGAAATTCTCTTCACGCTGTGCAACTTTAATGCAACTTCTGCATTATGTTCTTGTTAAAAGGCGTTTTAATCTCAAGGTCTTTGTCTTGAGAGACAGTTTATTCAGAGGGTCCTTCCTTTGCTTCTTAGGAAAGACTTCTGGTGCCTTAACATAAACTTTTCTCTTTCTTCACAAAAGAAGACAAAATCATATTTACAAGTAGTCCTCAACATATAACCATAATGGAGCCTGCTTATGATGCTTCTAAGCCATGACAGTCACAAATGACCTTATTTTTCAACATTATTTTTTTTTTGCAGCAAATGGTAATTGTTCGCTATGGGGCCAATTTTTGTTGTAAAATGCAGTCATGTGATCACAGGACCTACAAATGCCTGAAAATGTAGGCTGGTTACTGAGCAACCAATATGTGGTCATGTGATGGTGGGGGATGCAGCCATTGGAATCTCTGACTCAGGTTGTAAGTTGGAGGGGGGGGTCTGTTGTAACTTCAAATGGTGACTAAGCAACCAGTGGTAAATTGAGGACTATCTGTATACAATATCTTCTAAGTATAAAATCATATCGTGTCACATTTAATTTTACATTAACAAACTGGATTTTACTACTATCAAGCTGAAATTTATTACTATTACTTCATGGTTTCATGTTGAGAAATTGCTAAAACCAGTCAGACTATATTGAGTACTGTAGTAAACACGAGGTTTCAGCCAGTCTGACTGAAACTATACCTGGGTGATTAAAGGTTGGTAAAAATGAACTATTCCCTGACATATTATATATATTCCCCATAACATGCTTGTTCTTTCATTCTTTCCTCTCCCAAACCCTTTCCTTTTTATCTAGTTTTTTAGAATGAAAACTAGACTAGGATGCAGACAGTCTCATGCCTTTCAATATCTTTACTGCATTTGTAAACGCCTGTTTTTAAGGATTAAATCTTGTCTGCTCTTAAAACTTGCAATTATGGAAGTTTCCACTTTTATCTCTTCTCTCCTTCTGCCTCTGCCCCACTTATTATACTGCACATCCTATCAAGAGAGAAAGAAGGAAAAAACTAAGCATTACCATAAGTCATAGGTGCTGTAGGCACAGGAGGAAACGGTTGGGGATACCCGCCTGGGTGGGGGTAGCCTCCGGGCTCTGGATGCCCACTACTATAGGGTGGTGGTTGTGGATAAGCTCCAGGATATCCTCCCCCTGGCGGAGGATAGAGGGGGTTCCGATCTTCATAGCTTGGAGGAGCAGAGGGCTGTGACATGTTGTCTCAGCACTGAAAAACAAAACGACATTTATTTGTCAAGCATAACTTCCATAAACAAATACCATCCAAATCACCCCTCCCACTCTTTGTATCTTGCTTATATACATCCTGTCTTTCCAAGAACATGCCATAAAATGGCCAGCAGAGGCAGCCACTAGTAAATCATCAAAGTAAGAGGAGTCAGAATCTTGTAAGGTTTATACAGTACAGTTCTTCTGTTTGTCAGTGTTTCCTGGTTCAGCGTGGCCAGAGATGGCAACAGAGACATCAAAAAAAGGGACTTTTCTCTAGGCTTCCTGTGGGTCACACCTGGATTGAGGACTGATTCATGCAATATGTGGTTTGTTCCGCACTGTCTAAATCTATTTTAAAACAGGTTAGAGTGCAAAATATGAAGAAAGCAAACATACTCGAAAGTCCCACAGCTTTGGACTACAGCATACCTATCAATCTAATTACAATCAAGTCCTTGTTTGGCAAAATGAAAATGAAATCTGTTATAGGTTTGCTTTGGTGACAACATAGAGTCTTCAGTTTCTTTCATAATAGATTTTATTAACTACAATTGGGGTGCATATGTGAGAAAGAAAGGGAATGGAGGAAACACACACATACACACACACATACAGAGAGAGAGAGAGAGAGAGAGACAGACAGACAGACAGACAGACAGACAGACAGACACAGACACAGACACAGACACAGACACAGTAAAAGAAAATGTTAATATGACTAAACAGGGACATGAATAAACAGTCACCTGTTTATTCATCTGGGATAAGCCAGATCAACAACCTAGAGGTTAAGGAGGGCTCAGATTTTCATGCAAGCTACATGGCAACCTTTAGACTATGGGGGAAAAGGAAAAATGGGACAATCTAGTGATGTGTACAACACCCCTTCTCCTTCCCATCAAACATTAATGTAAAAGCCATGCATAGCCTCTTCATTCCAACTACTATGTGTTGATCCTCAGGCAGCACGGAACACCTAGGCTCCTTTCCAAACAACCCTCTAATCATGGCATGAATGTAGCATATCCTTATGATGTTGCTTTCATCAAATCCCCAGACCAAAGCTATTCCAGTTTTAAAGCAGCATTAAAGTTTTCTCTGCACTCAATTTTGACTGGCGCATCTGGAGATCCAGTTTGATGTAGTGGTTAAAGCATCAAGCTAGAAACTGGGAGACTGCAAGTTCTAGTCCCACTTCAGGTACGAGTGAGCTTAGTGAGCTTGAACAAATCACTCCTCTCTCAGTCTTAGGAAGTAGGCAAGGACAAGTCACTTCTGAAATTGTGCCAAGAAACTGCAAGGTCTAGTTCAAACTGATGCCAGGAATCAAAAAAAGAAAGGCACACAGACACAAACATGATCTGCTTCCCTTTATCAAAGATATGTTTGCTAATGTGGCCAGAGGATGAAATCAGCCTAGCAACCATTGGTAACTTTTAGCTTTTTTTTCTCTGGTCACCGTTCTTGCAATTATTGTGCTCGGGTCAAAAGAAATACTAACTTCTGTCAATGCCTTGCCTATATAATGACTGGTGCTTTGGCAGACCTTATGCAAATTCCTTATAGACATCAGTTCAGAACTTTTCTGAAAGAGTATTAGACCTGTGTTTCTTTAAAAAAAAAAATCTGTTAATGTCATGATGACCAACACACTGTTACCCATCAGCCAGGTTAATTTTAAACACAGGTTTAGCTTTAGAAGGCCACTACACTATGTTCAGAAATAATCCTACTGACAACTCCGAGGCCTAGGACAGCTCCATACCTGCCATTAGATAATCCGGCAACTTTAGAGTCCCTGTGGATTGAGGAAGAACGCAAAACATTCCAAATAAATAAATAAATAAAAACAATTATGTGATTCTAAACACCTGCCTTTTCTTGCCCAAATCTAGATTAAAGTGTTTAGTAGTTGTTTTTCCACTGGCAGGTGATGCTTAATAGGAGGATAATGAATCAGAGGACTCCACCAATCATTTCCCATAAATCGGGACAAATCCTTGTCCCACTTTAAATCAGCAAGGGTGGCCTCAGAGTGTTCCTGTAGAAGAATAATGATAGGCTATGAGAACAGCACAAAGTGTGCCTGCAGTTGCTGGCAGTTCAAGAAATGAAAAACAGCCCTTTAATGAGGCTTTCTGTTTTGCCCACCCAGAGTTCTGTGTTTCCCAACTGGCCAGATCTAAGTTCTCTTCTTCCTATTAGATTAGGGAAGAAGGGCAACCTTTGGGAACCAGGACCATACTTAACATTTCCAAGATGTGGAAGACTCAGTGATAGGATGACATCATATACACAGGGAGGGTTAAGTTTGGGGGTGGATTTGGAGGAGATTTTTTTCCTTTTAATTGTAATATGCATACTGATGATTATGATGATTATTTCAATTTATATGTTACTCAACTCCAACAGCTCTGGGTGGGTGCAAATAAAAATGTTGCAAAAAATGCAACGATAGACAAAAAGAAGAGTAAAGAAACATATAAAACTGAAGGCAGAATTGTCCATCATGTGGGCAATTCCAGTCATTAGATGCAGCTGGCATAGTGAACTGCACTCAAGCAAAATTAAAAGCCCTGTATAAGAAAAGCAGAAAAATAATGACAATGAGTCATTCCCTTCATCCATGCAGCAATGTTGACAGATTCTAGTTATTCAGGAAAAATAGGTGGGAGTGGAATATTGCAAGTACATCAGACAGTTGAAGAAGAAAAAAGAGCACTGGACAGTGGAGAAGAGGCCCTGATGCTAGTATACCACGAATGCTGACTGATTACTGGAGAGACCAAACTAGAAGAAAGTTCAAGTGAAGAATACAAAAGAGTCATGGCAAGATAAAATATTACCTGGCCAGTACATTAAAAAAAAAAGGCAAGCAATGAATAAGAGCAATGAATAAGAGCAAGAAAATTGAAGAAAGATGGGGGCAGGTAACTCTGGCTGCACAAGACCAAGACTTAAGAACAAATTATACAAACCCAATATTTAGAAGACAGCAACAGACAGCAAGTGCTGCCTCTGCAAAGAAGCTGAAGAAACAAAGCACCAGCATTTAGCTGCTGCAAGAAGATTGCACAGACCACAAACAACAGCATGACAAAGTAGCAACAATGAAGCATTGAAACTACCATTTGTCTGTAAGAAAACGAGAACTGGTAGGACCACAAAACAGACAAACTCATAGAAAATGAAGAAGCTCAAGTACTCTGGGATTTAGAATTCAATCCTACAGGCACCTGTCACACAACACCCCTGACTTAACAATTGTGATAAGAAAAACGAAGACTGTATAGTGGATGTTGCAGTTACCTGGAGACCACAAAATATATAGACCAGCAAACAGAACAAACTGTGGGAAACTAAAGTAAAAATAGTACCAATGGTAATCAGTGCCTAGAATGCAATTCCAAAACATGTGGAGCAGCACTTGAACACCATCAGCATTGACAAAATTATCAGTCAATTGCAAAAGGTAGCTTTACTTGAAACAGGTTACATCTTGCAACAATATCTTTAACACCATGAAACAACATCTGCCTGTCTATGAGAAGAACTCAACTGACAAAAATGCCAAATTCATTTCACTCTAAACATGTGCAATCAACAAAAATAATAATATGGTAGAAGAATTATAAATTCTTGGGGGAAAAGACGGTGTAAGGATTACAGGAGGATACAGGCTAGATTTAAAAAAATGAGGAAAGTGGGTATGGCTGATTTCAGGCTTCTTTTCTTCTTGCTTAGTTGAAGTGCTGATTATGCTAGATTTTTATCATTTTATTATTGTTCAGACATTCTGAATGCTGGGAATGGGTGGAAGTTTTTTCTTCCTTAAGTTAATGTTTTATTATGTATTTATGCATGCACACGCACACCCCCACTATGCAGCTTGACAGAAAATGATGCATACTGTTTTTATTGTATTATTAAAATGCAGAAAACAATCAACATTTCTTTTTTAAAGTGTTCAGGAATGTCCCTCAGATAAATGTTATTTTTTTCCCCATAATTAGGCTCTTTATCCTAATATCTTGGGAAGTTAAACGAAGACAACAGAAAAATAGAACAGCCTACAGTTCCTATAGAAGCATCCTAAGCCAATACAGCATATTCAATCATTTGAAATATGGCACCTCTGGAAATAAAAAGACTTCAAGACTTCAAATGTGACTTACTGCCACATTTGTTTGAGCCAACTGACTGTCCAGTGGCAGTCCATCTGAACAGTGACATTGCATAGGAACAGCAGAAAAATCTGTAATTCCCCATTCCCATTGCAACAGATCCAAGGTGGCAGTTCCTCTTCTTTTATTATGCACACTTGTGTGATCGGCCAAAATGTTAAACAGTCCTCCTTCAGCATGTCTGCGGTGCAATGCAGTCTTCTCTGGATAGAAGATTTGCTAGGCATATGACAGATTGTACTGCTCATGTAACAACAACGGTGTCCTTTGTAAATGGTGGCAGTTAGGAATTATTATCTGAAGCAGAGGGGAAGAAACAGGACACAGTTCCTGGTAGAGTTGAAAGAACAAGTAACTTCTTCCTGTTCGCATACCTCATATCTAATCCTTTGGCACTACTTTATCCAAATATATCTCTCATATAGTCCTTGTTATTTTAAGCAGAAAGGCTTATGGATGCCTGGAATAGACACACAGATGTATTTATTTACTTAATGAACAGGGATGACATCTTCCAGGGAAAGTTCATCAGGCGCTCCTCAGTTATCACTGAACATTGTGTGACCACAGCAAAGAGAAGCCCGGTGACAAATTGTAATGGAATGTATGAATGACATTGGGGAAAGAAGGGGAAAGGTGCTAACTAGGAAACAATCAGACGTTTAACAGTCAGTGGAAAAAACTTAGGAAGGACCCACCCTAAGAGATGCTGTTAATGTAGCCTTACATTAAAAATAGAATTAGTTCGTTTTGTTGTGCTTCCTGTCTGGTTTATCTGAGGGCTGACACACATCGTGGTCTAACTC